GAGATGTTAAAAGGACTAAAAAACCTACAGCTGCAGTTACAAGCCAGTATTGCCAAACTAAGCCAAAGTTTGTCTTCCTCAAGATCCAAAAAATTACATAATGTATACTAAACCAAATTTTTTAGATTTGAACTACCAAATTTAAAAAATCAAGCCCAAGAACAAACCAATAATCAGAAAAATAATTATTCAAATCAGAAAACAGAATGGAATACTGCATTTGAGACTTTTCTATTCAAAGATGAGATTAAAAAAGAAAAAAAAAAAAAAAAGAAAAAAGAGAAAAGAAAGAAAGAAGATATATTGCCAATTCCATAAACATAAGACAAAGAATGACATAAATAATTTCATGAACCGTGCGACTGGGAAGAGAAATAGATGCTTACAAAAGCCATGTAGCAGAATACATACCGTTAAGCTTCCTGTGTCTGTATTCTCAAAATCAATCAACCTCTTTGTCAATGTTGCTTCACACATATGCACAATCCTTATCTGATAATATTGGAGTTCTCAGATATGTACATATTTGCTTGTGTTTAGAGAAAGGGAGGGGAAGAAAGATATGGAAAAATTACAAAATCAAATAAAATAGGACAGTGAAACATCATCCAGAATTACAGTCAAAGTAACAAAGCAACCAAATCCAGACCTCCACTAAAGTATCAACATCAATGGAAAATACCATCTTGTTAAACCCCAAATTTAGCACTCGTAGAATCCTATTATTTCACATATCTTTCATTTCAATCAGCTAAATGATACTCATAAGCTAATTATTGCCAAGGTTGTCCCATACAAACATGTTAGAGAGTTGTATTTGGGATTTGAATTCCATAAATTGGGATACAAATCCATTTTCCAGCAGCAGATTTTCCAGTTCCTTGTGGGATTCAAATCCCTGAGGTTGTTCACAAGTTTAGTAGCCAAATTAGGGCTTCACCATGCTGTTATACTGTCATATTAATATAAATAGCGGCTGACCAATGTCCTGTTCTTACAAAGACTTTCAGTCATGTGTTGAATCAAAAAAACTAGGAGTTTCAGCGGTGGGGGAAAAAAGAGCACAGCATTCAGAGCTGTAGTGTGCCAAATTGACTTACTATATCTGACTTGGAGCACTTAAGACCATGTGAAAGTACAGATATATACAGTGCAGCACCACACAATCCACTCAGTTTCCTGCCTGTCTGCAAATGCATCAAATTCAGTATAATTTAGCTCTGATAATACAACACATTTCACAAAATAATGAAAGTCAAACCCCTAATTTGCCCACTGTATGTTTTTTAATCGTGATTTGCACCCTATTTAATTTTTGCCACCAAATCAAAGCAACTTTTAGTGGCCCCAGAAGGCCTAAGTGGACAAAAAGTCATGAGTCGTGCACACATCTGACCATTAACTTTCATCCACTTTGGCTGATGTGGCTTAAAAACACAGACGTGGCCTATTTTGATGATAAAAAAAAAAAAGGAAAAAAATAAATCTGATGTGGCCACTTTTCCCTATTTTAATTTGCTAGAGGGTATTTGGCAAAGCTTAAAAAGCGAATTCCTCTGCTGATAAAAAAATTTAAATAAATAAAGAAAAAAGAGCAAATTCTTCTCTCACAAATTTGAAAATTTGTTGGGAGGGAAAGCTATGATGCAAAGTTTCTCAAAACTTGCTCAAAAGCCACTTTAAAAGCCAATTTTTGAATTTCCCTCCAACTACTTTTCAAATTTGTGAGAGAAGAATTTGCTTTTAAAACTAAGTGCTTATTAAGCTTTGCCAAACACCAACAAAATCATCTTTCCCTTTTTTTAATCCAATGTGGGTCCTTCTGTCTCTTCCTATCCCTTCTCTTTCCTTCCTCACTCACCCCCTCAAGCAAGTTGGCATGGCCGCTTTGCCTGGAGTCCAGCAAACAGAAAACACCTTTGCAGTGCACAAGCACACAATAGGATGCTCCAGATTCAAACCAGATTCAAATCAGAGCACTCTTCCAAGGCTCCAATGGAAGCCCTTTTGCGTGTGCATGAGCGCCACAATCTTGATCAGCCACAAATTACAGCAGCCCACCAATCACAACATCCCTATTTTCTTAAACTGCCATTTATCTGATCAATCTTTGTAGTTTTCATGTCCTGGCCCTGATGGATCAACAAATAGTTTCAATGTATGATGTTATTCTACCTTAATGAATGGCTGAAAACTTCAATTTCTCTCTGTGACATAGTAAGATTTAATGATTAATCACACTTAACAACAGATTCTTCCCACCATACATGTAATGCATTCAGTTTCTTCTTGTGAGACCTTCTCTACTCTTTAGGGTTGCCCTTCTGCTAACCTTATGGTTTACCAGAGCTGCCCCAATTGGAAGTGAGGTTGTGAGGGAGGGGAAGGAGAGAGGAGGGAGAGTTAGAAAGAAGAAAGGTGTTTTTGTTGTTTCATTTTTAGTTATAGTTTTATCAATTTGATACAATTAAATTAATTTAACTAAATTACATAATTATTACATTAATCACTCCTTAATTTAAACAAATATGGCGATTTGATATTTAATGTAAGCAATGATATGGTGTGAAGAAAGGGCTGCTACATCAGATTATTATTGTCCACATCAGTATTTGTAATCCCAAACTAGCTAAATTGGAAGGGCGTTAATCATCATGTGCATGCATGGGACTTTTTTGGTGCACTTTTGGGTCTTTCGTTGATCATAGGAAGTTGATGATATGGTTTGCAGGCTAAAGTTCACAAGGGTGTAAATTGCCAAAAAAAAGGAAAAAAGTTCAGGGGCAAATTATGGGTTCAGTCAGTGATTAAAAATATGATATAATACTTGAAAGCCATATCAACCTGCATCCAATCTCTTTTCATGCTAGCTATAATGTCCCGTGCAGTTTTAACAACTTCAGGGTTCCCTTCTGGTAGCAGAGCTGCCAAGAATATTTGTCAATTTGTCTGTGTAATTTAGTAGAGAAGATATACCAGGTAATGTATAAATAAAAATGATTAGAGTATTTTTCAACCAGTTTTTACCTAACTACTCGAATGTTTAATAAAGGAAAACTAAAAAGGAATAATGAAAATATACCCAAGAATAAGTAGCGATATGACTTAAGTCTAAAGCTCCAATTTCCCAACCCAAATTAATGTGTAGAGATAGAAATAGAAATGAAGCTCCAATTTACCTAACCCAAAACCTCAAACTTCTTCACACTCCAACCCCTAAAATCATCATATGGCCAACAGAATAAGCAATTGTTAAGAGTGGTATTGAATCTATTCCACATGTTATCCAAAAAGAAAAACGTTTAAAAGTTTGGAGATTGTTGTGAAAAGAAGGCTAGAAAACCACATTGCCCACAGAAATCTATTTTCCTTCCCCAAAACCTCTACACGACAGCCTATTTCACCATCCATGAGGAATTCCTCATCTCATCCAACCTCCAAAGATTAAACTTAGGGCTCTTTGGAAGGGTGGCTTCAAGAAAATTGAGCTCAACAGTAATCAATATGGAAAACTATCTCAAACTGTACTAGAATCCTAGGAGATAAATTCTAACACACCACCAAATATGAAAGGAAATAAATATTAACCCAGATGTAGACATAATAATTACCAAAATAATCAATGTTAGATTAATTAAAAAGACTTACTATTTGTAAATTTATGGATAAATATCGAAGGATCAACCAGTTTTTGAATATTTCCATTATCTGCCAGGTAAAGTTCATGGCAAAGTTGCAAAGATACAGCACCGATCTCATAACTGCAAAAGAACCGAAAAAAGAAATAAAAAAGGAGGATCAAACAAATAGATAATGAATGCCCAAAATAGAAGAAATTTTTAATTCCTTACACATTCACACCCAAGTGATTTGAAAAATCTATGAGAAGGAATGGCTTGTTTTTTTCCCTACACCAGAAAGGTGGAAACCCAAAAACAAAATTAGTATATAACAATGCTATGGAATTTAAATAGAAAAAGACCTGAATGGCAATGTTGTAAATAAAAACATTTTAATACATAACAATAAATTCAAAAACACAGCATCAGATTCACATTTAGATGTCTCTTAGGAATGCCTTTCACCTCATCCTCAGACAGTCATTTTAGAAATAATAATAACAATAATAATATTAATTGTCCATACCCATTAGTCACATAATACATAAGTAGGCTCAATTTTCAATACAACAACAGCTCAGATTATTAAAGCTTTTAAATCAAGCTTAATGGTGTTTCAAGCTGAACTTCAACTTAAACAAAGAGCTGATTGTTTAATCTAGTTGAGCTCAAGCTAGCCATACTTGGCTTGCTTAATTTTCAACCTTAATTGAGCTTTGGAAGGCAACATGGGAACAACAGGAGCCCCACAGCAGAAAAAAAAAGTATATAAGTTGCAAGGAAGCAGCCCTTTGTCACAGAAAGCTTAGTAAATGCTTAAATGGAATTGATGTCATTGATCCCAAGGAACAATTTATTATGATCAATTATTCCTCTTCCATATTGATGGTATTCCCAACTTCTCAAGTTGTCTCTCCCAACAATGGAATCATCAACAACAGAAACCTAAATACAACTTTTCTAGAAAGTTCTACAGAAAATTTTAAAGTTATTTATCTAAACGAACTTTTAAACAACCTACCTACATAAAATATGAGTTTGCACAAATGAGCATCTAAACTATA